ACTTAACTCCCTTACAGACCTCCCTTAACCCATTTATAGAGAAGCAGGTTTGGGAGAGAGTATCAAGAGTTTGGTTTTGAATTATTTGATATAAAAAAGATGTTGAATAGACAGGTATATGTTCAAATATAAAGTTCTGAAAAGATATTTGGATTAGATATGTAAATTTGGGAGTCAGCAACATACACATGACATTTAAAGCATGGGATTTGATGAGGTTGAGGGAGTCTTTGGATACAGATAAGTAAAGAAGAGAAGGAAAGAAAAGGTTGCTTTACATTTATTTTTCAAAACTTAAAAAATGTTATTTGGTTACTCCCCTTAAATTTACAAATCAGACGGTATAGCTTAACAAAGGCTCTCCTGCTCAACAAACCCACACACCGGAAAGATCCACATATCAGTACCTCTGAACATGGGCACATTGGAGTGAGGAGAGGAGGCAGAATGGGAGGAAGGACAATACAATCATGGCAGAACCACTCCAGCCAATCCTGGCAAAGCCACTACAGGCATTGCAGACATCTCCAAAAACACTGTGGGGTCAGTGGCCATTATTAAAAAGGAAGTAGTGCTGTGAGCTCACAAAACCATTCACCACATTCCTCCACGTAATGGTGTCCTGTAACCGAGGCAAGCCTCCCACCAAACTGGTGGTTACATGGCATTTTCCGTAACTAAAGCAATGTTACTCCACCATAATCCAAGAGGTGTAAAAAGTACAGGTGATAGAAAACAAAAATCTGTGCTATAGCACCATCTATTGGAAAACAAGAAAAAGCACCCTACCTATCAACCTGCTAAAATGTAGAGTAAAACAATATTTAAACTACCTCAGATGTGCAGACACAGACACAGTCCACTAAATACCACAAAAAACCAAAGTAATCTGGGAGCATCAAAAACAAAATAAAAAGTCTTCAGTAATCAAACTCAGCCATGGAAGAATGTGATTTAAATGACAGATAATTCAAGATGGCAGCTATGAAGAAACTCAGTGAGATACAAGAAAACTCAGAAAAGCTGTTCAATGAGCTCAGGAATATAATTAACAAACAAAAAGAGTACTTTACCAAAGATACTGAAACTATAAAAAAGAAACTAGTTCTGGAGCATTAAATAAGTCAATAAACGAGATGAGGAATACATGAGAGAGCATTAGAAATAGAGAAAACAAGAAGTGAGAATTAGCAAGCTCAAGATGGGAAACTATAAATGACCAAGGAAGAAGAGAGACAAAGAATTATAAAAAAATTTTAAAGCTCTATGACAACTATCTGACTGCATTAAAAGAACAATATAAAAATAGTGGGTATAAGAAGAAAAGAGGAAGAAGGGAACAGAGAGCTTACTCCAAAAAACAATATTGATGATAAATTCCTAAGCCTATGGAAAGTACTGGACTTTAAAATAAGGGAAGCTAACAGACCACCTAATTATATCAACACAAAAGGTTCTTCTCTAAGACACGTATTATTCAAATTGTCAGAAATTAATGACAAAGAATTCTCAAAGTAGCCAGGGGAAGAAAGACTGTAACTTACCAAGGAAAGTCCATTAGAGTATCATCAGATTTTCGATTTCCAACATTGCAAGTCAAGAGAGAATGAAAAGAAATATTCAAAATACTGCAATTTTCTCTTAAAGAGAAGCCATCAGACAAACACAATATATCCAGCAAAGTCATCCTTTACACATGAAGGAGAAATAAAAGATTTCCCAGACAAGCAAAAGCTGAGAGCATTTGCCACAATAAGACCTGCATTACAAGAGAGCTCTTCTACCAAAAACAAAAATAAAATCAGAAACGATAGATAGGTTACAACAAACACCACTGAAATACAAAGGACCATACACAAGAATACTATGAAAGGCTACACCCCACTAAATTCCACAACCTCAAAGAAGCGACAAATTCATAGAAGTATACAACATCCTGAGGCTGCATTATGAAGAATGTAAAAACCTAAATAGACCAACCACCAGCAAGGAAACTGAAACTAATCAAAAACTTCCCTCGAAACCAAAAGTCCAGGACCATATGGCTTTATTGGTGAATCCTAACAAACTCAAAGAACACTTAATAATCCTTTCTAATATTTTTCAAAATTTTGAAGAGGGAATACTTCCTAAAATGTTTTACAAGGCCAACAGTACCCTTATACCAAAACCAGACAACAACCATACATACAAAAATAAACTGCATGCCAATATCACTGATGAACATAAATGCAAAAATCTTAAACAAATGGAAAAGAACAATACAGTAAAAGGATCCTACATCACATTCAGGAGGAACTCATCCCAGGATGCATAGACAGTTGGTTCACCATCCTCAAATCAATCAATGTGATACATTACGTTAACAAAATAAAAGATGAAAATGATATCATCGTATCAGTAGAGGAAGAAAAAGCATTTGGCCCTGACCAGTGTGGTTCAGTGCTTTGGGTATTGTCCCACAAAGCCACTTCTATTCCTGGTCAAAGCACACACCTCAGTTGTGGGCCAGGTCCCCTGCTGGGGTTTTCAAGAGGCAACAGATCAATGTTTCTCTGACACAGCAATGTTTCTCCCTCCCTTCCTCTTTCTTTAAAAATAAACAAAATCTTAAAGACAGAAAAAAACATTTGACAAGCTATTGCATCCATTTATAATTTAAACTCAATAAAATGAGTATAGAAGTTACTGTAACATTACAAAGGTCATTTATGACAAACCCTCAGCTAACATACTCAATGGTAAAAAACTAAAAGCATATCCTCTAAGATCACGAACAAGACAAGGATGTCCACTCTCACCAGTGTTATTCAGCATAGTAATGGGAGGCCTATCCAGAGCAACTGGGCAAAAGAATACACTAAAAGGCATCCAAATTGGGAACAAAACATAAAACTGCCACTATGTGCAGACAATATGATTCTATGTATAGACAACACTAAAGTCCCCACCAAAAAACTTAGAAGCAATAAGCAAATACAGTAAGAGTTTCAAATTACAAAATCAATGTACAAAATCTCTTCTGTTCCTATATACTAAGAATATAATACCAGAAAAAGAAATAGAGTTCCATTTAAAATTGCAACAAAAAGAATAAAATACCTCAGAAAAAAATGTTAGCAAAAGACATGAAGGACCAGTACACTCAAAACTACAAGATATTGCTGAAAGAAACTTAAAACACACACACAAATGAAAAGATATTCTGTGTTCATGGATTGTAACACTGTTAAAATGGCATTATTATCTAAAGCAATATACAGCTTTAATGCAATCCCAATGGCATTAAACAGAAATATGCTTCAGAAACACAGAAATATGCCCACAGAAACACAACAAAATATGCTCAAATTCATATGGAACCACAAAAGATCCAGATTAGCCAAAGCAATCCTGAAATAAAGAACAAAGCTGGAGGGCACCACAATGTTCATAGCAGCACAATTTACAATAGCCAAGAGTTGGAAGCAACCTGGGTGCCCGTCAGTAAATGAATGGATAAAAAAATTGTGGTACATATACACAATGGAATTCTATGCAGCAGAGAGAAAGAGCTACTACCCTTTGCAACAACATGGATGGAACTGGAAAGCATTATGCTGAGTGAAATAGGCCAGGAGTTGAAAGACAAATACCATATGATCTCACCTTTAACAGGAAGCTAAACAACAAAACAAACAAGCAAGCAGAATAAAAACAGAGACACTGAAATAGAGGACAAGGGGACAGTGACCAGAGGGGAGAGGGAAGGGAATTTAAGGGGGAAATAGGGGGAGGGATTTGGAGGAACAAATATGAAGGACACAGGGACAAGAACTAAGGGGGGTGGAAATGGGAGGGAGGTGGAGTGCATGTGGGAGGGGTGGGCTGGGGTGGGATTAATAAAAAAACTGTACTTGAAAAATAACTAATAAAAAGTAAAAAAAAAAAAAAAAAGAAATGGGTGTTAAAAAAGAAAAGAATGTTAAAAGAGAAGCTATGGAATGGGAGAAGTATCAGTAAGCCACATATAAGGGCTTAATATCTAGAATGTATGAAGAATTCTTAACAACAATTCTTTCTGCTGTGTAGTATTCCATTGTGTATATGTAACCAGTTTCTGATTCACTCATTTATGGGACTACATCAAATTAAAAAGCTTCTGCATGGCTAAAGAAAACAGCATCAAAAGAAAAGGGAACCAATTATATAGGATAGCATATTTACCAATGTACCTTGGACAAGGGTTTAGTCTCCAAAATATATAAAGAATTCATATGGCTCAACACCAGGAGGACAGAACAACCCAATTATAAAATGGGCAAAGGACCTCAACAGCCACTTCTCCAAGGAGGACATACAGTGGGCATATAGACATATGAAAGGATGTTCAACATCACTAACCATCAGAGATGCAAATAAAACCACAATGAGATACCACTCCACAACAGTAAGAATGGCCATCATAAACAAATCAACAATGAGTGTCAGCAAGGATGTGGAGAAAAGGGAACCCTCATGCACTGTTGGTGGGAATGCAGACTGCTGCAGCCACTGTGGAAAACAGCATGGAGTTTCCTAAAAAAACTAAAGATGGAACTGCCTTTTAATCCAGTGATCCCACTGCTAGGATTAGACCCTAAGAATCTGGAAACACCAACTCAAAAGTGCTGGAGACAGCCTAAGTGCCCACCTATATCTATTTTTTAAAAATGTGAGCTCTTTTAGCAGACCTAAATGTTAACAATGCATAGTCTGCCTTTTCTTACAATATTATAAATGTCCCAGAGTTAAAACCTAGCCCCTTGACCATCAAAGAAGATAGGAAAATAGGTAATTATATATGAAGGGTGGACAAGATAATGTGCCTTATGAAGAAACTATGTCTATTCCCAGTAATTTAAAACCATTACTTTGAGAAGAAATTCAGTTAATTACTTAAAAACAACCTTGAAATAACATCAGTTAAGGCAGCCATTCCAAAAAGAGAACCTAAAATACTACAAAGTAGATATCCTTACCTAGTGACATCAAGTTACTATAGTTCTCCAACATCACATCTCTGTACAAATGCCTTTGAGCAAAGTCCAGGCATTCCCACTCTTCTTGAGAGAAGTCAATGACAACATCCCTGAACATCACCAATCTCTGAAACAACAAACATAATACTAGTAGTGGAAATAAAAAAAAAATGTACTTTCAATGGAGGGGGAGATGATAGGGAGCTCTTAACCAGTAAGGTAACAGAGCATACATGCTAAGCCTCTGACATGGACAAGACACTACAAAAATCAGTACTTCAGAAGTGACAACATGTGCCTTTTTATCCTGTTGCTGACATTTCCTGAATCTAGATCATCTCATTACACACAAAGCCTGGGAATTAATAAAGTTAATGAATTAAAATTAATTTTAAAATACAATATTCCAATAAAAATTAATAGAAGACAGAAGTGCCTTGTATACTACGTGTCTTGTACATCACACATTCCCAAAAAATGAGTTTCCCTTTCTTATCCATTATTTAAGAAATAAGAGTCCCTGAGACCCCTATCCCACCCAAACTGCAGGGGTACCCAAGCTGCTTTCACTGGCTTTTCCATACAAATGGCCTGTCTTGGCTCATGCTATACTTTCCTAAATTCCTTCAAAGGTTCACAACCCCAAACGAGCACCATCTGGCCTCTGAATGCCACGTATCTCTTCTAAGTGATCCCAGACCTGGCACTAGCAGTAGCTAGAATTGTCTACAACTTGGCTTCTCCTGGATACCTCCAAGCACAGGCCAAATAACAGCCAATTGCAGATCACTTTGCAGTTCACTCCAGGTGGTCCCAGAAAAGACACAGACAGCTGGCCTTCGTCTGTACCATCCGGAAGGCCCCAGAGCCCACACCCCGCAGTAGCCATCTTCAGACTATACCAAAGTACCACCCAACCACCTCTACAAGCAACACACTCAAGGGGCAGACATGGAGGGCACCAGTACCTAGCTGAAGTGAGTTCTGGACCATGGGGTCAACTTCGGCACTGCAGTTCCTCCACTGTAGTTGTGCCCAGTCAACCCTTCCCACTGATGTACTAATAGCAATCCAAGCTCAAATACAATAGGAGGGTGCACACAGCCCACACAGGGGGCACACATGGAGTTCCCAGCTCAAGTGACAGGAAAGGCTGCTTCACTGGATGCAACAGGGCCCCTCTAACATAAGGTTATCCTACCAAGACTGGGAGATATAGTAGACCTACCTAACACATAGAAACAAACACAGAGGCAGCCAAAATGTGGAGAAAAATAAACATATCCCAACTGAAAGAAAAGGAGAAATCTCTAGAAACAGAACTAAATAAAATAAAGGAAATCAAACTACCAGATACACAGTTCAAAACCAATTATAGCATCCTCAGGGAACTTAGTGAGAAATTCAACAGCATAAAAAAATACAGAATCCATAAAAAAGAACTAGTTAGAAATGAAGAATACAATAACTGAAATGAGGAATATACTAGAAAAAATCAATAGCAGGTTAGATGAAGCAGAGGATCAAATTAGCAATTTGGAAGACAAGATAGCAGAAAATACCCAATTAGAGTAGCTAAAAATAACCCAAAAAATGAGGATAATTTAAGGGACCTCTGGGATAACATCAAGCATATCAACATTTGTACCACAGGCATACAAGGAGAAGAGAGAGAGCAAGGGATTGAAAACCTAGTTGAAAAAACAATGACTGAAAACTTCCCTAACCTGGTAGAAAAGACAAAAAAGACACACGAGTCCAGGAAGCACAGAAGAGTCCCAGAGAAGATGAATCCAAAGAGGCCCACTCCAAGACACATCATAATTAAAATGCCAAAGGTAAAAGACAGAGAATCCTAAAGGCTGCAAGAGAAAAGCAGTTAGTTACCTACAAGGGAGCTCTCAGACTCTCAACTGATTTTTCAACAGCTTTGTATGTGAATATAGGTTGGATTAGAAAGACACAGGTAGAGAAGACACTATCAGTTAAAAGAATGTAATAAACTGAGGAGCTCATCCCTGACTGGGGGTCAACTAGTTTCAGGAATAAGGAATGTAAACATGGACATACCCTATAAAAAAGTGGCTATTTAAAGAGGACAGGAGAAGCCCTGGCTGGTGTAGCTCAGTGGATCGAGCACAGGCCTGTGAAGCAAAGGGTCACCGGTTCGATTCCCAGTCAGGGCATATGCCTGGATTGCAGGCCAGGTCCCCAGTAGGGGACACATGAAAGGCAACCACACATTAATGTTTCTCTCCCACTCTTTCTCCTTCCCTTCCCTTCTCTCTAAAATTAAATAAATAAAATATTTTAAAGAGGACAGGAGAAAACCCCATTTACCTGAGCCATGATTTTTAGATCTATAAGAAATGATCAATCCTCTCCTGGATTCCTATCTTGGAGAAGCACAGTGTCTGGAAAAGGCAGTGCTAGAACGAAGAAAACAGAACCATGAGATCATGCTTTTCACAAAGCACCAAAAGAATTAAGTTAGAATTACCTTTGTTGCCCTCCTCTTCCTGTCTCTTGCTCCCATTCCCAAAATACACGCTATATAGGGGGAATATAGGTGGTGGTTCTTAACCCTGCCAAACTCAGTGCTCTCTGTATTCAAAAAGAAAATATTTACAAAATCTTCTCTATCACTTCTGAAATAAAACTTATAGTTATCCATTTACATATTATACCAAAAATAGAGATAATGACCAATTATTATATTTCAATATATATTTCTTTAAATACAAACTTTTTTATTTTAATTTTATTTTTTAAATTGTTGCTCAAGTAGTTTTCTACCTTTTCCCCTCACCACCTCCTCACCACCACCTCCCTCCCCTGTTTCCACCCGCCTTGTTATTGTCCATATGTCCCTTATAATTGTTCCTGTAAATGTTTCACCCTTTCCCCCCATTATCCCCTCCCCTCTCCCCTCTGGTCACTGTCTGCCTGTTCTCAATGTCAGTGTCTTTGGCTATACCTTGCTTGCTTGTTCGTTTTGTTGATTAGGTTCCTATTAATGGTGGGATCATATGGTATTTGTCTTTCACCACCTGGCTTTTTTTTTTTTAAGATTGTATTTATTTATCTTTAGAGGGGAAGGGAAGGAGAGAGGGAGAGAAGTATCAATGTATGGTTGCCTCTCGTGGGTCCCCTGCTGGGTACTGGCCTACAACCCAGGCATGTGCCCTGACTGGGAACTGAACCCCTATCCTCTGGTTTGCAGGCCCGCGCTCAATCCACTGAGCTACATGAGCCAGGACTATTCCCCGCCTGGCTTATTTCACTTAGCATAATGCTCTCCAGTTCCATCCATGCTGTCACAAATCAAACCACTACAGTAAAAGGCATAAATAATTAAATGCTTACAACTACCTAAAATGGACAAATTTAGATTTATAAGATGACAATATTCAACTAAGTACTGTTGACATATTTTTACTTATATTTGACATTTTGAAATAAAGGCTATATTTATACATGTATGTATGTGTGTGTATATACAAATCTGTGTTGTGGAATAAATGAAATTCATTATCTACAAATGGAGGCTTCTACAAGTATGTAGTATTCACAAGTCAAATGTCATAAGCGGTGTTGCCATTAGTGCCAAAGCTTTTTATTGTTTTAAAGAGTCTCAGTGAATTTCTGAATAAAACAAGTCCATCTTTCTCAAATAATCTAGCATTCCTGAAAGATTTAACTAATAGTAAAACCATCAATAATGCTAAAATGAATGTAGAAATTTGAAATAAATCATGCAAAAATGCTTTATGTAAAAGGTTCTAGACCCTCATAATTGGAAACACATTTTTCCCCCTCAGGTATGATCCTCATTTTGTAGGTAATAGAACAATTCTTTGTTATGCACTGCAGGACATCTAGATTAGAATTTGGCCCACCAACTATTTTTGTAAATGAAGCTGTACTGGAACACATCTACAGTCATTTGTTTATATACTGTCTTCTTTCACACTAGTATGGAATAGCTAAAGAGTAGGAAGAAAAACTGAATGACTCAAAAATCCTAAATTATTTATCGTTTATTCCCTTATAGAAAAGCTGTCTAACTTGTGATCTAGATCCATGTCTTACTTTAGTTTTTCAAAAGCTAGAAGCCTTCACCCAGTTGTTACAATACTTAAAAGCACTCAGATATATTTCTAAAACATTCCCCAGGAAAAGTCACTGCTCCTACACAGAATCACTGATATAGGAACTCAATAGATATTTAATTAGAAATTCCACTTCCTCTATATATTAGGAAGGTGCAATAGATAATTGCGTCCATTCTAACAAACAAAAATAATTCAGATGAGATTAAAAATCGTAATTCCTTTTAAATTCATCACAGATTTTTAGCTGAAAATTATAAGCAAAAGAAATTTAACTGAAATTATAATAAAAATCTAAAAAGCACCAAGCTCTCCTGAAGAGACATATATGGATGCTCTCATCCCTCACAGGGCTTCAACTATACTGCAATTACCTTAAAGATTAATAGTCCAACACCATTCCAATAAAGACACAACATCAAAACAAGGTAAGAAAGTCTAGCTATATGCTCTTTACAAGAAACAGACTTTAGATATATAGGCACTGATAAGCTGAAAGTAAAATAGTGGAGAAAGATACACCACACAAATACTAAGTATAAGAAAGCTTGTGTACCTGTATTAATATAAGACAAAATAGACTTATATTGTATGTCTAGTATAATAAGAAAATTAAAAAATTATTATAAAAAACAAATAAAAGAGGCCTGGACCATCAGCACCAAAAAAAGTTGCCCAAGCCCCCTTTCCAGCCCAGCATCTGCCTCTGCCTCTGCCTAGAATGGGCCTCATATGCATCACCTGGAGGGTCCTTCATGCCCCCTGCTGACACCCTGGGCCAAACAGAGTATGTATCAGCCCAGGTTCCTCAGCCTGGGCCTTGAAGCCTGAAAGATTTAACTAAGCCTGAAAAAAACTAAAACTAATAATAATAATATTTAACAATATAAACACTAAGTTGTTTTTCTAAAGTTGGGTATGGAGAAAAAGATAAAGAGGGAAGAAAATGAGGAAATGCGCCAATTTTATCATTAGCATTGCAATTCAAGTAGAATTTATGTCAAAAGCATTAAAATAAACTAAAAGTAGGCTATTTCTAGACATTTGTCCCATAAAGAAACCTAAATAAATAGAAACTATATAGACAATTATTGATTGATGCATTATGTAATGACAAAATACTGGGAAAAAACCCAAATGCCTCCCCACAGGAGATTGGCAAAATAAACTATCACACCCACACAAAATATCCCTATAAAAGAAGGACCCCGTTACACCCAGGGGAAAGGCAACCATACATTGATGTTTCTCTCCCTCTCTCCTTCCCTTTCCCTCTAAAAGATAAATAAATAAAATCTTAAAAAAAAAAAAAAGAATGTGGAAGATTTCTGCAGGCCGTTTTTGAATGATTTCTAGGATACATTAATGTGTGAGGAAAAAAAGGAAGATGCTGAACAGCGTACGTAGGACCCTCCCTTTTAATTAAGAATGAGATAGTAAAAAAATATATATACATATACATACAAACACATAAACCAAAGAGAAGAATAAAGCAAAGATAATTATAGGTAGTTATCTATATTTGGAAGAAGGAAACAGGGTTGATAGGATAGGAATGAATACCAGACATCTCTGAATTCTTCTTGTTCTGTAGTTTAGAATTTGGAAATATGTAAATATTTTAGGTACTTTTAAAATAAAATTCAATCAAGGGGTAGGGAACAATTTCTAAAAGTAAAAGCAACATGAAACAAATGAGCCTAGCTCTGCCTCTCAGGTGGGTGGCTTAACAATATGAGAGATGTTATTTTTAGGTGAATTTTAAAACACAGTAATTTGATTACAGATCCTTAGTCAATTATATCCTACTAAACTCTAGGAAGATCGTTTTTCTGTATTTATATAGTGAATAAAAAATCCTACGGTGAATTTATATGGTGAAAAATTGCTATGTAAGAAATAACATAATATTGAATCCTTTTTACATTTATGAATCTCAGATCCATTCTTCCTCAATTTAACAACTATCTATCACAATTAACTGCACACCATCCTTGCTCCCAATCTACAGAAAACTGCCCCTCCCCTATTATTCGCAAAGGCTTAGCTAGGAAATTTCAAAAAGCAAACAAAGATTCCTATGTCCTGAAACAAACAAAGGCAGTTCAGCAAACAAAGAGGAAACATCTACTCACCATGGTTTGCTTTCCAATGCATCACAGCCATTTTTTCCTCCTCTGGGCTCTACTGTCAGGAAAAGTAAATGGAATTATTAGGCCTTTCTTAAGGTATATTCTAAATTAGAACACACTCTCTTCTGTCTCCCACTCCCCAATCTACCCCTCATTTAACATAGAGGGAGGTCAAAAGGAGACTAGAACAGTTCTTCACTTTTTGTTTCAGAAAGAAAATCACAGCTGTCTTGGGCTAGAATTTACTTCTGGATGCCAAGTTGACCACTACAGACCCCCCTACAGGGGTGTGTTACAGGTTCTTAAGTGGGCAGCTTGCCTCTTACAGCACATTCTGCAAAAGCATTCCCACTCCTGAAATCCTATTACATTTACAAGTGGTCTTTCTTGAAGGTGCTATCAGCTCTAACATTTTCATCTCAAAACCAGGCCTGTGGCTTAGAAACAACTCATGTATTCTTCATTCATGGGCTCAAATTTCTGACTTCCTTCCTGCATCAAATGTCCTTAAGAGAGCACCAGAAAACAGCAGGGAACCTTCAACTACAACCCTAGGGTGAACTAATGATGGATACAGACATAAAGCAATCAATAACAGGCCATGTGTGAATGAGGGAAAGAGGGAGGGTAGTCGCTCTGGCAAGAAGGGAAAGAAGTCGAGTCCTCTCTCAGTAGAGGACACAGCCAGATGGGTCTCATGATCCATAGGCAGATTCTATCCTGGAATGAACCCCATTAACATCCCAACAATTTTACTTCTGTACTCCACAAAACTCTCATAAGGACACAGACTATAAAATATACAAATGACGACACAAAGGGACACAATGACATTTCCCTAGTCACACCACCAGAGTCACATTCACCACGCTAATGCTACAGTCAGGCCACCTAGTCTTAAACAAAATCCAATCACACACAGAGCACACACACAACCCTCCTGAAGCACACACAACTACCCTGCCAGGAGCACACAACGGCCCAAAACGCCGTTTAATAGCAGCACTTTTACTTTCTTCATAGTCACGAAAACGGCACAGGCACATACACTCCCCCCAACATAGCACACTGAGTCATCCAATCAGATAGTCAAACACAAACTACCAAATAGATGAAACAAGCCGACACGAACACTGTCACAGAGACACTTATAACATCTCAAAATCTCAGGCAAAATGCAGTAAAATACACGATACAATCACATACACAACCTTAAAGTGCACCCAGTCACAACAGCACCGTCGCGCACCTCAGTCACAAGCAACCCCAGTCACAGAAGTATTATCACACCCTCATAGTCACAAAAAACTCACATTCACACAAACACCTGAACACAAAACCACAGTCGCACAAGCCTCCTAACCTATACAGTCACCAAAATCAGTCTGGCTTGTCGCACAATACAAATCCGGAGGAGGTGCCGCCACACGTGCACTTCCAGCGGCTTCCTTCGAGCTTTTCCGCCCACCTCTCCAGAAGGTGCCGTTCGGGGTCCAGAGTCTGGCGCTCGGGTTCCAGGTAGATTCGGCTTCACGGGCCTCACCAGAGCTAGCCCTAGCTCCTCCACGGATACAGCTCTCCCCACGCGCGAGGCCCCCAGATCGCGCGAACAAACGGAAACGAAGTCGCGTTGGAACCCGGTGGCTCTGGGAAATGTAGTCCAAGGCAGGGAGGCTGTAGTGAGCCAGCCAAGACACAGGGAGACACAGTCCACCTAGCAGGGGTCTCCTGGACCCCCGCGCCAGAACCTACTCGCGCACCGGGCTGCGCCGGCGATTTCTGGGAGGGCCCTCCAGCGCGCAGTGCGCAGGCGTCGGGGGCGCGCTGCCGGGGCAGTTGAGGCCTGAGACCTGGAGTACTGAGTGGTCCCAGGGAAGGAGAAAGTGGGGCTGGCCTTCGCGGCAGGTGCGGGGAAGGAGCTGGAGTCAGGCAAAGACCTGCCGGAGGCTGCGACTAGCATGAGACCCTTTTTGTGTCTCTCCTGGCACTTTAGTGTGTGAATGAGTGTGAAACAACGCGAGATGTTGTCGGGCAGTGGCAGGTTGTTAACACGTGTGTGATTCTACGTGTGCGTGGGATTGTCTGATAGAATAAGGATATCTGCTATTGTAGTTTGTTTTATCTGGTGATAGTTCGTTTATGTAAATGTGCTTTTCTTGTGCCTGCATATCAGAGTGTCTGTAGGAGTTTGGCTAACAAAAGAGCAATGTGTGACTGTGAAAAAATGATGGGTGGTCAAGTTATTCCGTGAACACTAATTTGATGATCTAGAAAAGGTTATCAATTTATCTGGCACATAAATGATTTTTCTATCAGAGCAAATACATTGTGTTACGGGGAAGACTACAAAATAAACATTTTTTAAAAGAAAGATTATTTCAAAGCCAGTCCTAGGCTAACTGCTTCTTCCTCTGACACGGAGGAAAAAGTAGGCATCCATTCTTTCGCACAAAGTAGGCATCCATTCTTTTCTACTATTGGGGGACATTCTTTGGTAAGGTTGAAAGGCCATTGACTAACGTAGTAATAATGTAAGTTTATACCTGAGAAGAGTGAATTTTAGCAGAGGCCAGCATTAGTCAGGTTTCCTGAATTCCAGGGCAAACCCTTGTCCCCATTTTCTAATGGGCAAATCTTGGCTCACAAAGAGAAAGGAACTTAAGGATGTATGTTTTGGTAAGCCTGAACTTGTTTTCACTTTAAGACTTCATGGTCTTTTTTAAAAATATAAATAATCACAAACTTTTTGAAATTCCAACATAGAGAATATAGAGTTATAATCCCACCATCCTTGGAATGGTGGAAACAGGAGGAAAAAAAATAATAAAACTTATTCTGGCTTGCAGGGCCCTATACCAAATACTTTGATCTCTTCCCAGTAATGTGACTATAATAGCAAGTTCAGCAGAATTGTTGAATAAATGAACCCGTGTAATTCAGTATGTCTATGTGAAATAAGGATGGTCAAATCGCAGTGACTTAGAGTAGGTCAAAGTGATACAGGGTGCAGCCAAGGGCGGGGGGGGGCAAAAAAAAGATTTGGAATGGTGTCCAGAATTCAAAGTGTATGGGAATATTGGAGAGACATATAGGATGTCCTCACAGCCCCCCACCCACCCCCACCCCCACCCCCACCATGGGGAAGGGATGAATAGAGCCAGGGCCATTGAGAGCTATTTTGCATAGCAACAGTTTTGCAGCTAACCTCTGGAATGATTGTTTAACATATCTATAACCTTTAACTGGTTTCATAGATATGTTAAATAGCTGTGGCCAAATTTTGAGCCAGGGAGAAGGGAATGGCTTGGACCCAGGAGAGGTAACTAGGGGCTGTGCCCCTGAATGAGGAGCGCAGGTGTGAGAGCTTGGAAAAGATGGGCTCCAGGACTTGAGGGGATAACTGCCCAGGTGAAGGGGAAAACCATGCAGCTTTGCCAGAATGGAGATCCCTGCAGCCAGGTGAAGAAGAAAGCCACATGCTTTTGGTGGAGTGCAAACCCCTGCAGCTTTGGTAGAAGAGGCCCACGCAGCTTTGGGGTGCCCCCTTTGGCCACGTGGCCTGGAAAGCAAGAGAGACTTTGACTGGAACTGGGTACAAAGAACTCTTGCCAGTGGACCATGAGAGAGTGCCACAGTACTTTGGATTAACTAGAGATCCTGCCTGACACAGCTGACGATTCCAGCGGCCTGAAAAACAGACGTGTGCTCTTTTCCTGATTTATGCTACCCGGAGTTGGGACAGTGGGAGAAGGGAGCGCTTTGTGGGTGTAGGTGTATACCCTACAAGACTGATATTTTAGTGGAGGCATTAGGCCTGAATAGCACTAAATAAACATTTTGTTTCCTTTTCACAAATCTCTGACGTTGAGAGATGGCTTTCCAATTGGTGGCGGACAGAAGAGCCCAGTAGATATTAGTATTTTGTCCTTGGGAGGGGCCCCTGTTGTATAGCAGTTTTTGACATCCCTAGGTGAGCCAAATATTATATTGCCCCTCCCTTGGACCTCTTGTTTGGTAACAAAAGTGTCACAGGGGAGTAAGACTTTTGTTAGAGTATGCATGAGAGATTTAGATGTGGGATATTTTATTTTAGAGGTGATAAATTCTGATTTCAAATTAGCACTCATTGATTTGAAGACACATCTGTTTGATCTTGGGTCATCTCTTGGCTTTTGAAGAGTTCTGATGAAAGCTCGGAACAAAAAGGAGGCTATTGTTTAAAAAGTGAAAAACAAGCCCTGGCTGGTGTAGCTCAGTGGATTGAGCACAGGCCTGTGAAGCAAAGGGTTGCTGGTTCTATTCCCAGCCAGGGCACATGCCTGGGGTGCCGGCCAGGTCCCCAGTAGGGGACACACGAGAGGCAACCACACATTAATGTTTCTCTCCTACTCTTTCTCCTTCCCTTCCCCTCTCTCTAAAAAATAAATAAGTAAAATATTTTTAGAAATAAAATTTAAAAAATTGAAAAACAGGAATTGTTAACTTAAGATGAACAGATTCCATTTGGATGGGCTTCTTATTGTATATTAAACTTGTGATATTTGCATGTGTAGATATAATATGAATTTTTTTAGCAAAAGTATAGGCAATTTTATCAGATTCCCAAAAAGGTTCTAATTCCCATTAGAAATATGGGCTGCAGGGGCTGAAGATTTTTTTTTAGTATATATTGTGATACATTTAATATAAAAATACAGTATATGTTTTATGGAAGGAAACATACCAAACTTTTGTTAATGGTATTTCTGGTGGTGGGAAGAGAGGAGGGAGAAGTGTCAAAGGGGACTTTAAGCATTACTGATAATCTCTTTTTCTTCCTTTATGGGGAAAATAAATTACTCATTTATTTAAATTTAAATTTTAAAAATTCTGTAGAAAATGGAGACTTTTAAGATATTGGAGCAAGAAAAGAATGCAAGGGACCTAAGCTCTGTAGAAGCAGACAAAATCCAGAAAAACATGCCCCTTACAAAGAGTGTAGAGAAAAAGGAATATTCAGGTGATAGTTTTTCATAGATCTCAGGTGCTAGATTTTGCAGATTTATGTCTTTATGACCCATTTTGACCTTTCGAACCTTAAAGGATTAGTTATCTTTTTAGCCCATCAACCGGATCGGCCCTCTGGTAGTGGCTGCCTGTGAACAGTATTGGTAAGTATGTTCTCTTTCCCAGCACTAGATCATTTTCTTTGAGACTTTATCGATACTGGCAAATGCTTTTCACTTTCTTCCAAAAGATTGAATTTACATCAGTACATGAGTCAGGCATTCTGGGAAAGTATTGGAGGTACTCTGGCATTTTTATAGTTATTTTTTCCCAAGTTTTTATTTTGAAAAATTTTTAAACTACAGGAAAAAGGACCCATGGACAAAGACAATAGGGTTGAGGCGGGGAGGACTGAATGTGGAAGCAGGGTGGGGTGGGTGGATAGGGCAGGGAAGAGTAATGGGGGAAAAATGGGGACTACTATAACTGAACAACAATTAAAGAAAGCTACAGGAAAACTAAAAGCATAGTATACCGATGTGTACTGTATGTCCCTCATTTACAGTCACCAGTTTTTAACATTTTACACCATTTGCTTAATTGCTGTCTGTAACTATTTATATATTTTTGTTTTTTGCTCAACATTTGCATAAACATATATGAGCAGACATCATATATTTACCACTAAATATTTTCATTTGCATCTCTAAGAACAAGATGGTTTTCATATATAATCTCAATATCTTGAATACACGTAAGAAACTTAACATTGATTTGTAGTGTCATCTGCTATATAATTCATATTTAAATTGCCTCAGTTGTTCCCCAAAGGTCCTATATGTCAGTTTTAAAAAATGATCTAAAAGTCAAAGTCACATATTACATTGGATGGACTTGTCTTTCAAAACAACAGCCATCAAAAACAAACATCTATTTCTCACAGTTCTGGAGGCTGGAAAGTCCAAGATTGATTTGGTTCCAAGACTGATTTGTTGCAAGAAATGTGATGCTTGGTGAGAGCCCCTTCCTGATTTGTAGATGACCACTTCTCACTGTTTTCTCATGTGGTGAGGACAGGGCACATATTTTTAGTATCTTTAATGTAGCAGGGGTGTCCAATGGGCCAATGGCTATGAATGCTGTCCAACACAAAATCATCAACTTACTGAAAACCTTTTTTTGCTCATCATTATTTGTTAATGTTTGTGTATTCAATGTGTGACCCAAGACAACTCTTCTTCATCCAGTGTGGCTCAGAGATGCCAAAAGGTTGGACACCCTTGATTGTCAAGTTTCCCCTCACTTATGTTTCATAATATCAGTTTTGAAGAGTTGAGGAGTCTAGAATGTTTATTGTGTAAAATGTCTAACATTCTGGGCCCTGGCTGGTGTAGCTCAGTGGATTGAGTGCGGGCTTGGGAACCAGACAATCACAGTTCGATTCTCAGTCAGGGCACATACCGGGGTTGCAGGCCGGTTCCCTGCAGGCCAGTTCCCAGCAGAGGACGCATGAAAGGCAACCATACATTGATGTGTCTCTCCCTCTCTCCTTCCCTTCCCCTCTAAAGATAAATAAATAAAATCTTTAAAAAAAAAAAGTCTAACATTCTGGATTAATTTGTTGTGTCATGACTAGGTTAACTTCAAATGTATTTGGCAAGAATACTATGTATAGGTGGTGGTATGTTCTTATTGTATCACATCAAGAAGCACGTAATTTAGGTTTGATCCATTTCTAATGATACTAAATTTGTTCACTTTGGTTCAAGAAATGTGTGCACCTGATTA